TCTCTCTCTCTCTCTCTCTCTCTCTCTCTCTCTCTCTCTCTATCCGGTACTAACCTGTGAAGTTGGCGCCTTGATGCAGGTACCTCGAAGATGGAGCTGGAGCTATGGCGCCACAGGTAAGTCCCACTGGCCTCCCCCAGTCATCTCTCCCAACTCTACTACTACCACCTACTAGCGCCCAACGCTGAAAACTACTGGTATGGCTACTAGCGCCCAACGCTGAAGACTACTACTAGCGCTAAGCTACTCCTGTTGCGCTCCTCCTGAGTGTTGCGGCCGAATCCTGAAGACTACTCCTGCGTTCTGTCCAACTACCTGCCCGTGAAGTGCATGGGAACTTTCTATGTACTTCTCGGCCTGCCTCCTGACTGCAGAGCGAGGCAATCCAGGAGGCTGCTCTTGCCAATGCCGCAGGGAGTCAGGGGCTGCCGCTGCAGCTCCTGCTTGAGGCTGTCGTGGGAACAGGCCAGAAATAGCCTGTTCCCGAAACCCTGGTTTTGTGCCTGAGTATTAGGGTAGGTCGACCTTATGAGGGCCCGAAAGTGGCCCTCCGTTTCAGGCTGAAAAGCCTCTGGGCTGAAAAGCCTCAGGGCTGAAAAGCCCTGTTATAGGTTGAAAACGAAATAGGGCCTGCAGACCCTCGTTTTCAGTCTTTCAGGCTGAAACGACCTGGGGCCTGTAAGCCCTTATTTCTAGGCTTTTAGGCTGAGAATGCGGGACGGGCTCTGTAGGCCCGTGTGGCTACGCAGTATGCCACACATACATGTCGCCTTTCCCTGTTATACGGGAAGGGGCACTATGGGGATAAGGCCCATCATAAGGGAAGTCRGCGCCCAGTCGGATCGGTATAGTTGGTCCACATGGCATAAGTGGGTTGATAGCGCTTATCTTCTCAAGTGTCATTCGCCCGAAAATGCAAGTATCAGCATTTCATTGAGGGAAAGAAACAAATCCAAAGAAATCTCACGTAAACAGAAAATAACACCAGGTTCTCATTATCGTTGGGTCATGGCATTGGCTAGCTAGAAGCGTGAGCCCATGCAATTCGATCCAATCAAAAATGCAACTGCCTGGCATTCATTTGAGGGAGGGAGAAAACAGGAATCAATCACGCATAAAAATCAAACGCATCAACAACTAAGTGTGTCCCTATTATCAAAACAACCGCTCAGGCAATGCAAGTAAGAAATCGCCTCTCTCCCAGCTTGTTTCTGTGCTCCAACGAGTTCGCATGGCGACTTGTGCGCATCAAAGACAAGTAGGGGCAAAAGATCACACATGCATCAATCATCATTATAAACACGCATCATTTATCATGAGCAAAGGCGTAGAGGGAAATAAGGACAAGATCACTCGAACTCACTGGCCTCTTAAACTCAACGATGTTCGTTTCCACGGGATCCGATTGAGTCTAAAGAGGCAACCGGGACGAGACCTTAAAAGTTAATAGGGGCACGGAAGTCATCAAATCGTTCAATCATCCATGCAGAAAACACACCCAAAGAGAGAGAGAGAGAGAGAGAGAGAGAGAGNAGAGAGAGAGAGAGAGAGAGAGAGAGAGAGAGAGAGAGAGAGAGAGAGAGAGAGAGAGAGAGAGAGAGAGGGGGGGGGGGGGGGGGGGAGGGAAGAGAGACGGAGAGAGAGAGAGGCAGAGAACAAAAATTGTTGACGGAGCCGTAACTCGACCGCAGAAGGGGACTAAGGAGAGGGAAAGAGAGTTACAAGCACACAAGTAGATCTCAGGAAAACCGGTGTTTCGCCATGAACTTAGCTTCCAAGATATGAGAAAAATAAAGAACAAGGCGTGCAAGCCTTCTGCTCTCTTATGATGGCCCTGGGCGTTGCAACCTTTCGTACACACACACTTTTTTTTACTCAGGCACCGGTGATCCCGGCTATCGCATATCGACCTCCATACCACAGCGATCGTCACCCCGCCAACTTAGCTTTACACCAACTGACCCAGACCACGGAGTTTGTCGCGGCCACCCGGCGCACAACCTTGCAAAACTACAGTCAGCTCTTCAGGACTGTTGGACTTGCCGATCATCACATCATCTAGCCACTACGTCCCTGCAGTTGGCAGATGGGTTGAGAGAGAGCTTTACGAACGCGCTTGCGGATTTTATAGTTGCGAAGGAGGAATTAGAGCACGGGAGAGAGGGAAGTTGAAGAGGTTAAAGAGAGGAGGGAAGGGAATAGGGTTATTCGCCTTGGGAAGGCCAAATTGATTCACGCGAGTCCTTCACCGCTAATCAGATCACAATGTGAGGGGATTAATCCTCTTTACACGCTGCCGTCTGATGGCTTGAAGGCTCAAGGGGGGGATCAGTAGGGAATTCCTGTACGGGGATGAAGGCGGGAAGGGGGAGGAGGCGAAGAACGGTGCAGAGCAGGACCAAGATTCAGATGGGGCAAGGGAGAAAGAAGCGCGAAGGAAAAGGGGACAAGAAAACAGTTACGGGTCAAGGGAAGAAGACGTGAAGGAGAGATGAGTGAAGATGGCTTGAGGTAAAGCGGGAGACAGGGGAAGCTTGCATGCATGGCACCGGCGCAGAAACAAAAAGACACTGAAAACAGTTACGTTCCGCCCATCCCAGCTCTAAAACTAGTTCAAGATTGAAAAATTTAAAAGCAATATGATGCCGATATCTACACGCGGAATTGGACGCGCGAAAATCCTACGCCTATTCAGGTTCCTACAGAAAATTCACCGAGCTTTCCGAGGCGGTCTCGGGAACACTCATATACAAGAAAGGACACGTCAGTGGGAAGTGCGGCCACAAATTCCGGAGTTGCCAGCTGCCGAACAAAACTCCTAGCGCGCTCGCTAAGGCGGGCATAATTCCTACGGAAGTTCATGGATGTTTAAAGAAAAACAAATAAAAATCCGAAAATTCAGAAAAAGTGAAAATATTTTGAAGTGGAAGGGCCATTGATACCATGCATCACTCGTCTGCCAAAAAGAAGGTACCCAAAGCCCACTCGATCAAGCACATAAATTGGTACGTCACAGGCTAGGAGAAAATCAATCATTCATGAACAGAAAGCTTGTAGCCTCCCTTTGACTCACATGCTAGCCAGATCCACTCTATGGATATCTCAGAGCTCTTTGTGATCAGATCATGATGGCACAGGAGAAAATATTGATCAGCAAAGCGCTAAACGCCAGTGCCATTTATGACAACTCCTATGTCTGGCCGCAAAATGGAGTTAAAAAACAAGAATCACATCACGATCTCTCTGTCTGAATCACATCTGAAGGACTGTCCATGACCCGAATTGCACCAGCATGTTCGACAATTATGCACACCTTTCTTATGCCCCCTCTTTTGCCTCTGTGAGGTCCACCTTCAGTGTAACTCCCTCTTGCAGAGGAAGGATGTCTGCACAATCTTCCATCATGTCGGGCCCATTCACGATCATGTCTGTCCAAGCTGAAACACTTCATCCCGACTCGGCAACATCTGGAGTGAGATTAACATCCCAACTATCTGCATCGGCATCTGATTTGGAGGACTGCCCATGGCCAGAATTGCATCAGCATATTTGACGGTGCGACGGGCAACTTGCTTATCCACCCTCCACTGTCTCTATGAGCTTATCCTTGTGAGAAATTCCCTCGAGGACAGGGGGTACATTTGTGCCGCCCTCCATCATGTTCTGYCCATCGTGTCAGACTGTCACAGTCTGAAAACTKACAACTCCATAATTTCATCTCAGAGATCCAACATTGTTGAAGTTTCGCATCTTTGTAAAGCAACATTGTCTCTCTTAGCATCCTCCATCATGCTGGGTCGAWCATGTCTCTCCGAGCTGGCGCACTTTAACCCCAATGTTTTGTAATTTCAGAAGCCAGATCAACATCTCAGCTGCCCGTATTGGCATCTAGTCTGAAAGACTGTCCATCACCACAATGAGCAGACACTCTCCTATCCACCCTCCATTGCCTCTGTGAGCTCCACCTTGTGAGCAACTGCCTCCAGAACAGAAAGAATGCCCACACCATCTTCCATCATCATGTTGTGTCGATCACGTCCTTCCAAGCTGGCACAGCATAACCCCAACTTTGCAACTTCCCAAGCCAGATCAGCATTCCAACTGCCGGCATTGGCATCCAAGACACTGTTAAGAGCTACTTTGCCTTCAAAGGCTTCCTGAACTGTTGCTAATGCTTTCCAAAACTTTCCGGTCAGGATCTCCAAGAGAGTGATACCAAGTGCATAGACATCGGTCTTCTCATCGAAAACCCTCGACCGCCATAATTCTGGGGCCACGTACTGCGCGTTACCTTGTAGGAATTGGAACCGGATCCTTGGGCTCTCTTGACGCATTCTGGGATGAGCAGGGCTTTGGTCCAGATGGCCGACCTTGGCGACGAGGTTGTCATCGAGAAGGATATTTGCAGGCTTGATGGCACAGTGGATGATGGGACCACCAGCTGCGGATCGACTGGAATAAAAAGTATGGAGGAAATGCACTGCTCTAGCAACCTGTGCCATTATTCGAAAGCGAAAATTCCACGGCAGAAAGCCTCTTGTGGGATTGTGCCCAGCTTCAATCCATTCCCGGACACTTCCTCTGGGCATGTGCTCGTACACCAGGCAATTCTCTTCATAGCAGACTCCCAAAGGGGTAAATAAATGGGGGTGTTGTAGCATCCTTAAAACATCCACAACCTCAGTCTTAAACTCCGCCGCTTGAATGTGCCACATGCCTGAGGCCCCAAGCGTCAGTACCATAACAACAGTGCCATCAGGTAGTTTGCCCTCGTAAGCACAAGCTTGATCATGATAATTGTCAGTGTCACACTTGCGGTTGTCCTCATTAAAGTTGTTTGTTGCATCCTGAAGTTCCTTGAAGGAATATTCCCGCAGCAACTTCTTCTGAGCAGCAAACTCTTTGTCTAGCTTTTGCTCCAGCTCCTTGATCCTTTCCTCAGACCTCTCTAATTTCTCTAACATAGCTGCTCTCTCACAGTCAAACTTCTGAATCGTCTGCATCGACCTTTCCAGTTTTTCTGTAAGCGCAGCCCTTTCTTCCTTCACACTCTTTTCCTCAGCCTCCAGCTTCTCTGCCAGTGCTGCCCTTTCTGCCCTCACGCTCTTCATCTCCACCTCCAGATGGTTAACCCTGTCTGCATGAACTCTCTTGTTTGCCTGAAGCTGTTCTCTTACTTCTTCAAGTGTCCTCTTGCATTTAAGCTCCACATTGGCCACTTCTTGCGCAACTTTCCTCTCCAATTTTGACTTGGCATCAACAGCTTCATTTTCAAGCTCTTCAATCCTTTTCTATAACACCGATGCTGGTTAACGACGTGGCTTGGCCGTTTTCGGCGTTTGGAGCAGATAATTTCTTGGCTTCAGTACTAGTTGCCCCTTTTCTACTCCTCCGCTTGTAACAACTTCTAGGACCAGGAACCTTCGACATCCTCCAAGAATGAGCCTGTTAGAGTTTTTGCAAGGAGCCATGGTGGTAATTGTCCCTCCGCTGTGAAGGGATGCGACGAGGGCATAGCTCGGCTCAGCATTCCAGATTTTTATTTCGCCATCCTTTGATGCACTAAAGAGATATGGCAATTTGGGATGCAAAAAGGCGGACAWGATCAATTCCTCGTGTCTCCGAAGTGTGGCTAGGCAAACACCTGTATCGTAGTCCCAGACCCCTATCACGTCCCCCATGCGATCGTAGATATCGGAGTATGCAGCGACCAGAAGTGACTTGTTCGACGGTGTGGCAGAGAAAAATTCAATGCTGGTCACATCATCTCTCAAGTCAGATTCCTCCAGGCTCCGAACAAGGGACCTCTTGTCTGAATGGAATACGTCAATTCTTCCATTACCTCTGCCACTTGCAAATATATGTGGTTCTGTGGGATGAAATGCCAATGACTCGATTGTGGTCCAGTGCGATACAATCTGCCCTTCCAAGCTGATCTGCTTCCATTTTTGGCTCCAGTCAAACAGAGAAAGTTTGTACTTGGGGAACGGAGAAGAGAGTAGTATGTAGGGTGAGCTTGGATGGACAGCCAGAAACGGAAGCCAGGAAGAATGTCCTCCCACTTTCTTCAGAAGTTTGATACGCCGCATGCTCGGCACTACAATTTCATACACAGCTTAGCGGTTATAAATCGGAAAAGTTGATTCAGAAGAAGTCGAATGGCACACCACGATCCAGTCTTTATGGGGGATGAACTTCGCCGTCACAGCAGGTTCAGGAACTGACCAGGAGGCAACCTTTGTCCCATCTTCATAGTTCCATACTTCAAGCGAATCACAGTGGTCAGGTGTGCATAAAACCCACGACTCACAGGGATGCACATCGATAAACACAGAGCCATGCCGGCTAGGCAAGCTCTTCTCCAGCTTTCGCACTAGTCGAGTCACCTCTCTTTCACTGTTGTTATCCCCCATCCTTGTTGACTGGGAACCCCAGGTTACCACTACTAGTACTACTGCTGATGTTGCTGATGTTGCTGCTGCTGCTACTAGTACTAGTACTATCACCTTACTGAGTGCTGGTTGCTGCTCTTGCGCTCCTCATCACTGCCATCTGCATCAAATACTAGCCTGTCACATACACCGGCTTTCATTAACTGCATGACCCAAAACACCACCATCCAGCACAAAGCATGCCAACAACAATTTGCAGTTGTTAGCAGAAGTCTTCCCATGGTATGAATAAGCCAAGCTTTGTGTGCTGCGTATGTCTGCTAATTTCGAATTTGTCACAAATTTTTACTCCCTCTCAGCCCTCTGCGGAAAAAGGGCCTGGGCTGCTGCTGCCAGGCCATGCATCTTGGCCTTAGGCCAGCTCCGACCCCCGCAAGATGAGGTTGACCACCCTTTGGACCATCGTTTTCTGAGGTTACAACGAAGGGATAGCAGGGGTGGAGAAGAAGGCACCAGGGGAGGGACAGGGAGGGATGATTCGTGATTACCATGATCTCCTCATCCATGACTGGACCCAGATTGATGCAGATAATTCCACTTAGACCATTAATATCTGATTTCCCGGACCCTTTCCCCGCCCCAGCGGCCCAGCCCTCTCCCTGGTGGAGCATGCACTGGTATGGCAGAGAGTGAGGGGCTGCCCTCTTTCTGACCTTATCTGATCATTCTTACTCTCTCTCCTATTATAGCCTGTTACAACCATCCCAGGCAACAGCATTGTAACAACAGCCATTTCGTCAAAACGGACATATTATATTTTTTGAACGAAATCAAAACTGATTTTTTTTGCCAAAATCTGGTCGGAATTTTTTGCTCNCAAAAAATTCCGACCGGATTTTGGCAAAAAAAGTCAGTTTTGATTTCGTTCAAAAAATATAATATGTCCGTTTTGACGAAATGGCTGTTTAACTACCATCATAACTACCATCGTAACTGCAATGATAACTAGGTTCCCCGGGATTCTAGGTTATCTTTGAACAAGCAGGCACCCTGGTGCAGGGTGAAGAGGCATCGTAACTGCCATGGAAACTAACTCGCCCTCTGCACAGTCAATCCCCCGAGGTCTCAGGGCAATCAAAAATCCTGAAAGAGAACTCCGTCTGTTGCGGATATATGTTCTGACAGTTGCTTTTTGTACTCAAGGGACACTGAACCCGCTTTCCAGCAGGTGAGGCTCCCCACCAAGGAGCAACCAGAAAGGCTCCTAGGTAGGGCTGCTCTTATCAGCCTTCCTAGCACCTGGGCTGGTTTTAGTTATAAAAAAAAAAAAAAAAAAAAAAAGAGGTTAAAACAGTACAAGTGTGGATTGGACTGCTAGAGGCCCAGCGCAAGTCTGGAATTGAACTCTTAGGCCCCTGCAAGGGCCCACCCAGCAGAAGGGAGAGGCGGTTAATGGATGACCAAAATTTCAGGGAACCTCAGCAACTCGCTAAGATCAGGATCATGGAAATTTATCTGGCCCGTGGTCCCACTAGCAAAGAGGATCCGATCGAATGCCTGAATCTGGACGCGTTTGTGGAGAGGTGCAGGAAATCGAGATTGAACTGCTTTTCTGCATCTCTTCATAAATCACATCCCCATTCAGGAGCTTGATCCTATCCTCTTTGTTAGTGGGACCTCTTGGCTGGTGTCAGTCCAGCCCCATAGGGCCTAAAGATTAAAAAAAAGAACCATATAGGCAAACAAACAAACAAACAAACAAACAAACAAACAAACAAACAAACAAATTATTTGAAATAAATATTAATTAAACAAAAGAATAAATAACAAAAAGCGTTTTGGAACTTCAGGGCCTTCGGCAGGCGTAGAAGCAAAACTTCCGAAAACGAAAAAGAAAAAGAAAATAAATGACAATGTAAGAGAATCCGGGAATTTGGCGATGAAAATTGCACCCACGTGGCAGGTCGGTGGCTCAACAAAAGAACGGCCTGCCCAGTCGGGCAGTGATGCTGCTGTGCGCTGCTGTGCGGGGGAAGGGCAGCGCAAGTAAGAGCAGTCCCGCACCGCATGGAGGCCGGTTGAGCAGGTGATTGCCAGTCATTACAGGGCACTGGGAGAGAGTAGGTGGTGGTGGTGCCATCAAAGAAGTCAACTTTAGGCATCACACGGCACTGGGAGAGAGTAGGTGGCGGGGAAGAGCGCCAACGAGAGTGCATGGTGGAGAGAGAAGAGTGTGGGGAAGGAAAAAGAATTCTGAAGTGCACTTGAATGGTCTMTAAGGGAGACTGGGTTATAGTGCTGCATATCATCTGCTGGCAGTTGASGATCTTCACAGTGGCTGTGACCACATTAAGCAACTGTTACAATCATGGTGCAAGTGGATTGATTGGTCCCTATAGGCTAAGWGTAGGGCGAGGGTGATCGCGATGGTTGTGCACTATGCATTGCCAAGCATTGCCAAGCAGAGCGMTGATGCCGAAGTGCATTACTACTTCAAGTCAGMTTGTGATGATTGCAGTGGAGTGAAGGGGGGAAAGAGACTCTGCACAAAAGAAAGGAAACTTCTACACTGCCAGTACTTAGAGCMTGTGTGACCATACCGTTGTCAATTGTGTGAGTTGTCGAGTCACTGACTCAGTGTGGACATACCGTGCATCATGGCATGCCATTTGTTTTTCGACRGTTTCCTTGAAATTTGATACCGGAGCTGGTCTGTGATGAGCGCTTACCTGGAGATTGGCAATCAGCAATCGAAACCATAAAGTTAGCATAAGCCCGAATTTCCCAAAACCATGACCCCTGGGTAYGGTACAGTTGTGGTGCGATTGCTCTGGCGGGTATGATCATGAGCCACTGTGACTGATGTGCCGGTCAGCATTCGCAATTGTGTGCAATTGTGTGCAATTGCACACAATTGTGTGTGCAATTGTGTTTCATCGACGGACTTGACTGTGTGAGGGTTGGCTGCTGAGAAAATGAACTCCCACTGTGATGACTCTGACGAGGTGGTTGGAATGTGAGTTGCACAGGCAGAGTAATTGATGGGAACTTCACAAGCTTAGGTTGATTGGTGGCCCCCCGATGTTGTGGCACTCAATGGTTGTTGCATGGTACTGTGCCAATTTGGGTATCTAGGTTGATTGTCTGCCATTTCGTCAAAATGGACAGTTTTTATTTTTTGAACGAAATTGAAACCGAGTTTTTTGGCCAAAAACTCGTCCAAATTTGCGGTTCCTGAGGGTCCGGCGTTGTAAAACGCTGGACATCCAGGACTGCCTGTATGTACCTGGTCTCAAGCTAGGTCCATGTACATCCAGGGGGTGCAGCGTTTTAAGAACGCCAGACACTCAGGAACAGCAAATGTGGACGAGTTTTCAGCCAAAAAACTCGGTTTCAAATTCGTTCAAAAAATAAAAAAATGTCCATTTTGACGAAATGGCAGAATTTGGTGTTCCCCTATGTTGTGGCACTCAGTGGCTGTTGCATGGTACTGTGCCAATTTGGATATCTCGCCAGCGTAGAAGAGTGAGAGAGGGAGACCTTCAACCAGCAGCGAGTTCATTGGTCGATAGGGTTTCAAGTGGGGATAAGTCACCCAGAACCTTATGATCTTACCTGTGCTTTCATCTTCTCTTTGACAGGCAGAGTGATTGATTGTTCTTGCATGTCATGCGTGTGACAAGGGGTCAGATGCATTCAGTCTTGCATGTCCTCCAGATACGTCAAGAGCGCATCCGGCGGTGCATCTGGTCAAGAAAGCGGCAGCTGGAATGTCAAGGGGGCATGCGATCAGAGGCGCACTGCATGATAAGGGACTCAGAGGAAGTAGAACAGTTACTGCGATTTCGTCAAAACGGACATTTTATATTTTTTTCAACGAAATTGAAAATCCATTTTTTTGGCCAAAATTTCATGAGATAGGGGGTACGACGTTCGGAAAACGCCCCTACCGCCAAGACGTATCGGGACTTGGATGAAGTCCACATGCATCCAAGGGGTCCGGCGTTTTCCGGCCTGGAGTCTGTTGTTGCAAACTGTAACAGTGCAGACCAGAACAAGAACCGACCTCTCTCACGAGGTACAAGATAGCGTAGCGGAAGACTTAGATACCAATGATCCGAACAGTCAATATTGCAATGCAGCCCCGAACATACATCATCATCATCACTCCATGGTGTGAAGAGGTCTGGCGCTCACACAGGAAGACTGTGCCAGCCCCAACCATACACAGACGAAGAAGAGGGGGAAGATGGGAATGTCGTCAACGCCAAGTCTTCGGTACAGGCCCAAATAGTCCCTCGTCAAAATGTCTGAATCCCGATGTCGAGTCTGGATCCAATGTCGTCAAGTCTCAAGTCACAACTCTCTCTCTCTGTCGTAGTCCGCTGATACTGCGAAGTTAGGTGGTGAGAGGGGAAGAAGAGATGGTGGACTTAGAAGAGGAAGAAGAAGAACTCTCTCTCTCTCTCTCAGTCCGGTACTAACCTGTG